GGTGGGTGGGCAGCCAACAGCTCCCAAGGAGAGGCAGAGGCACCATGCGTTGACCTGTGTGTGTTGTCATGGGTGGGTGGCTCAGCTTCGCCGGCAAAGGTGCCTATTTGGCCGGTGCTCAAGGCCCAGGGCCCGGTGCCTATAACCCCGCCGGTACACACACACACACACACACACGCGCAGAGACAGAGAGACACATATCCTTCCCGATCCACGTGTGTTGTGTATGTGCCACCCAGTTGGGCAATCGCGTCCTTCCAGTCCCAACTGGGGCTTCGGGACAGGTGGGTGAACCAAGGGATGCATGAGGGACATGACGGAAGGGGTCGGGCCCTACTGTGTGTGTGTGTATTGCTCTTTTCACCCCCACTACTGTCTTCAGGTAACCGTGACGCCATGAAGGCTTCGGGCTACCCTGGGCCGGGTGAGTCTCACTGGCCGGCCATACACACTGGCTAATATATTACGACGAATGAATGCTGATGTCTTATTGACAGGCACCTACAACTTGTACGATTCGACCCCCGGGCCGCACTACTCAATCCGTGGCCGACATGCGCTGGGAGACCGCAACTTCACACCGGGGTGAGGGAAGCACGGCAGGCACGCACGCACCGGCCGCTGTGGTCAACCAAGAGAAGGAACTCTCTATTGGTGTCTATGTTGCCGTATGTATGTATGTCTATAGCCCCGGGACGTATCAGCCTGGATACCTCGGACACGCGCCGCCGCAATTCGGGTAAGCCACCACACACACACAGCCACTCACGGCACCAGTGAACCCATACAGACACAAGAGACACCGCCTCCTTGTTTGTGTCTCCCTCTGCCTTGTGGCTGGCCTCCGTACAGGTTTGGTTCTGGTGCTCAGCGTGGCGGCCTCTCCGCTCCCCAGACACCGGGCCCTGGTGAGTGAGTGAGACACGCAAAGCCTCGCTGCCCAAACGAGTCCAATCCGCCTTGTGTGCATTGTGCAGGCACATACAGTTTGCATGACGGTGTTCCGGGGCCCAAATGGGGGTGGGCCAATGGATGTCCCGCCCTGCTGTTCCTCATATGCATCATGTGTGTGTGTGTGTGTGCGTGTGCCATTCATCATTGTGCAGCATGGGTAGCGGTGCTCGTGGCTGGACGGAGAGATCATCTACGCCGGGGCCGGGCACTTACAACCTGCCCAGCACCAACGAGGGCCCCGCATGGACCGCCAGGGGGCGATACGGACAAAAGTACGCACTGCACATCACATGCCATATGTGTCTCACTGCCTGCCACACGCCTGTTTGTGTGCCATATGTGTGTGTGCCTCAGGGGCCCTGAGGACGGCCACATCGGTCTGCAGATCACCCAGTTCGGCTACTGAGGCTACTAAGGATGAATGCAGCGGGATATCGGAATCGACTGACGACATATCCACCCGACCCGACCGCGATCGACCGCCGTCCTGCCCAGCAGTACCTACTGTAGTGAGTTTTCTTTCTGAGTGGATGGATGGATGGAGATGCCTGCACTGCTCTGTATGGACGGACGGACCCCTGTGTGCCTATGCTATGCACCGAACAAACAAGCACGAGACGTTCACACTCGTGTGCACCCGGATGTGTACGTGTCTTCATTCATCCACGTACGTACGTATGTGTGGTTGGTCGCGCCGACAAAGACTCGCCCCCCCTAGAATGAATGAATGAATGAATGAATGAATGAAATGAGAATGGGATGTCTCAGGCCTTGATGGCATTCTCCGTTGTCCGTCTCTCTTCAATTCTCGCCGTCCAGAATTTTTGGCCAGTCCGGTCAACGCCGGGAATGATGATCGAACAAGTCTTGTCCATCTCTAGGGCTGGCTCTTGAAGAAAAGAGTTGTGAAGTCGCATAGAGATCCATTCATGTACAAGCAGATCGGCCCGGCCAATCAGTCAGTGAGTGTGCATACAGACTCACAACAAACCCACCGCCGCACGGCACGCAGCCAGTCCTTCTCTCCATCATTCATCTGTTTGAGTATGAATGGCCACATCCATCCATCCGTCCATCCATCCATCCATGGAAAAAAATTGCAGCAGTGAGTTTGCGCGGATGAACCAAACCTCCTTGCCTGCCCCGGCTTCGATTCTTTCTAGATGCAGACACACCGCGACTGATTGCATCCCGCTGTGCACAGTGCCTGCGATTTGTTGGGGGTCGACTCCCACAAATCCACAGCACAAGGCACAGCCAAACGAAATCGATGGCGCGTGTGTGCGTGGTAGAAAGATTATGTGCCGAATGATGACCGTGGGCAAACACAACAAGCAGTGCAAGCCAGCCATTCCACAGACAGACAGACAGACAAACAGACAGACGGATGGACAGACGGATGGGCCGGCACAGACCAGCCAGGCGTACATCCGTACACACATACATGGAGCCGTGGAGGGACAAGTCATTCTCCCTCTGGCTCGCCCCTGGTCGCTCAGCCACTGCTAGAGTACACCTCCCAACCCACCCACAACACAGGGACGCTTGAAAGGCCTCTCACTGCACGGATCTCTGGCTCACTCACGAGGGGCAAAACAGCTCCCTCACCAAACACAACCTCACACACGCACCCAGCCAGCAGACCCTCCCTCCCTCCACCCTCCGTCTGTGTGTCTGTCAGTGTGGGTGTCTGTCAGTGTGACTGTGCGTGTCTGTCTATGGGTGCCACAGCCACGTGGTGGTCATGCCCATGCAGAACATGACGGTGAAGAGCCACGCGCATGCCTGTGGCGTGTATCGCTGTGCCTTGACCCAGAGGTGCGTCCCGTTGCAGCGGGGCCGGTTCTCGCCGTGCTTGCACCCACACAGGATCAGCGGCCCGTTGAACTTGGGGATCACCGCCACCGGCTTGAACGCAGTGCCCTTGTGCGAACCATCGCACCACGGCTGGTTCTGGCTCCGACCACACGCACACCACCAGTACACCTGACGGACCGGAGCACAGAGTCGCAGCACACACACAAGCAGAAAGGAGGCAGCCGGCTGTGTCTGTCCTCTTGCACTTTTCACTTGTTTGTGTGATGTGAAGGAAGGGCGGGGTGCGTGACTGACCTTTTTGGATTCACACCAGACGAGGTAAGGATCTGTCCGCGGAATGACCGGCACAGGGTCATACGGCCACCACTCGTGCCAAGGCATCCTCCGCAGCCCTTCTTTGTGCCCGCAAAAAAGGTTAGCTCGCAGTTGATCTCGCCTCACTCCTTCCTGTCGTCCCTGTCGTTGCTTTGCGCGTTTCTTTCGCCCCCCGCTTGTGTGCTATCTTCTCTTGAATCCCTTCCCGGATGGATCTCGTTAAAGATGTCCCATCGTGCCCTAGTGACCACCTGAGTGCTGTCGTAAGACGTTTCGTCAGCCACGCCAGATCTTCCAGCACCTACAGCCGCCAACCGCGCATAGCTCTCGGTGATGCCTTGCGGGAAAGGCTCAGCACACTGCCCTCTTCCGCTGACCAAGGTGCAGTGTGCCCGGGACAAACAGCGCTCACAGACGAGATCCTGTTTCCCTGTGTGTCCTGGTGTGGGTGTGGTGCAGATTCCGCAGTGTGTGCGGCTTTTGATGAGCTTGACACGGTCTTGGACATACTTCTTCTGCCGGAAGTGGCGTCGTTCCTCCTGCATGATGACGCTCTCCTGCCGGACGGCAGTGTATCTTCTCTGCTAGCCCTCATCATCGGCCCCGCCTTCGCGGTGAGGGAAAATCACAACGAGCACGGCAGACAGGTTGCCCAATCTATCACCTCACAGGGTGGTCGGATTGCGTCACAGGTGTGTGCTGCGCTGAAATGCGGGCGGACCAACTTAGTAATTCGGCGGATTTGCGCGCTGCTGGGGTCTCCTCGATTTCGCGCTCGCATTGGCGAAGCTTGCAGCGGCCTCGCATCGGTGCAATTGTTCGAAGGCCTCGAATGTCGGATTCGAAGCTATGTGCTAACGAGCACTCGTGATTCGCAAGTGAGAAGAAGCGAGGAGGAGAGAAAGTGGCACCACCTTCATGACACGCCTGCATGTTGCCCATTGCCCGTTGCTTATCTTCGCTCATTCAGATACGCACCGATGTGCTCGAGTCATTGAGGCTTCTCTGGGGAGATGAAGAGCCCCTCAACCCTGAACAACCGGGGAACTGCAAGCTTCGCGTCTTCGTCATGAAGGTTCTCGATGGCCTTCCGCGGTGGTTCTTGACTCCAGCCCACAGGAAGAAGTCTTTGGTTAAGTTCATGGAGCACCCTGTCAACGAGGCTTTCGCCAATGTCTTGAAGGACAAGGAAGAGCAGCATCGGTGCACTCATGCACAGCAGCAATGCGGCGCGATAAGGTGGATTGGCTTTGCAGCCCGCTGCTTTTCAAAAGTCAGACAAGCTTGGAGGCCGCAAATCAGAGGCTGCAAAGAAGACCGTCAGCAGCACGAGCGCTCCTCCAGCGGCCCCGACAGTGGTGGGGATGGTGGCATCATCGCATTCCACCAAACAAGCAGAGCAGCAGCAGAGTCCATTAAGAGGAACGGCGTCGACATCACGCGCAGCCGATCTGGCAACTATGCGGGGGATGGCTTCTATGCCTGCAATGAAATCAATGTCACGGATTGGAAGGCGAATTCTGGCAACCGGGGCTGGATCCTGAAGCTGCGTCTCGACCTGGGACGCGTCAAAGAGCTCACTCAGCGCGACCCTTGCCTGACCGGTGACAAGCTCAAGGCACAGGGGTACGATTCGGTCATCATCACTTCAAGGCATGGTGTGGAGTATGTGATCTACTGTCCCAGCCGGGTAACTGTTATTGACGACTTTGCTCGATAGAGAGTCGTAGCGTTCTGTTATTGACGCCTGTGCACTCAGTACTATAGTAGGTACACTACATGTGCATGAGGCAGTGTTTGTTGTGTTGGTGTTATTTATTGACGGTCACTGTTGGCTCTCTGTGTGTCGGCGTGTGGGTGTGGCTTTGGGTATGTGCTTTTATGACCAATCGTCTTGGTTTTTGCGTGGCTCTGGTGCGTGAGACATTGACATGAGCATGAGCATGTGGCAGAGCTTGGTGATCTCAAGACCAACAATGTCTCAATCCTCCTGTCAAGCTTGAAACAGCAGTGGGACAGCTGTAAAAGCTGGGCCCTTCAAGTTGAGCGAGATGCATTCATTGCTCTGCGTGGTGTGTCCCCCTCTCTCTCTGTGTGTGTGTCTGTCTGTCTGTGTACTGGCGATGCAAATTTACGAAACAAACCCTGTACAGAGGAGCGTACGAGTGCGCGAAGCAAACAACAAAGGAGAGAGTAGCGGGCAGGAACGCAACAGTGTGTGTGTGGCATTGCCCTGCGGGTAGAGAGCCCATTCAGTGAGTGTGCCAGAAGCCGCCGACAAGATGACATCGTCAGGCACGGGCCCGTTCAAGTTTTGTCTGTCGCAGCGCTCGTTCAGGCTGCCCTGCATCAACAAAACTCAAGGTGGGCTCACTGCTGGCGCAGGGCGGGTGCACGGGGGTGGAGGTTGTGCCACTCCATTCCCTCTGCCATATCCGTTCTGATTGCTGCTGTGTGCCATTCAGGATTGTCAGCAGAGGGCGACAGTGACTCCGTGGACGGCACGTCCACTGCCCCGTCCGAGCCCTGCCACGACAAGCTACACTCCTCCCCCCACCTCCCCGGCGTGCCCCACCATCCCTCCCGCAAGGCCCTCCCACGCCCATCCAGCCGGTCCGCACGCGACCCCTTCCACATCGTGGGATTCTCACCCTCTCAGCGGCGCCAGTACGGCTGGTCCCTGGGCGACAAGCGGGGCATCATCACGCCCACAACGGCGAGCACGCCCGCCACGTCAGCGATTCACGACATGTCCTGTGAGTGGCCGTCAGGGTGCAGTGACCACACGGAGGATACAGAGGAGGGGGACCGCTCGCCGCTGCGGCAGTGCCACTACCACTGGCGGCACAAGACCAGCGATCGGGGAGACCGGGGGGCGGGTGTCAAATCCATCCTTGACAATGGAGGGGACCCGACACACGACGAGGACAAGGGGAGCCAGCAGCAGAAGGGGGTCAACGCGCGGCGCAAGAGAGCCAAGGGGCAAGAAAGGAAGGGTGAGGGGGGCGGTCCGTCGGACGACGTGGGTGAGTCGTGGGACGAGTCTGATGACCCTGACCACCCATGCGCTGCTTCCAACGGCTGCGGCGACGCCGCCTCATCCGTCGATTCCATCTCGCCGGTGTCGGACCCCGCTGACGAGGGCATCCGGCTCATCCAAAACGACCGCTCATAGCCAGCTTACCTGCCAGGCGTCATGGCGGACACAGGGGTGCACACACAGACAGTCAGAGAGGAGAGAGAGGGAGGGAGGGGGGGAGGGAGGGAGTGGCCAGTCAGTGGGACTCATGTATGCTAGGACTTAGGTTTTGGTATGTTGGTGTGTTGGATCCTTCCCCCCCTGTTTGCTTTGCTCTCTAGTCTATTTTCTGTCGCTGGGCTGCCTCAGTGGCCGGCCCCTACATCAATCGACCGGTTGACATCAGCTGCGTATTCGCCTATATTGCGTACCCATGCATACGTACACACATACATACGTACATACATAGACATCGTGTATAGACGTGAGACGTGTGTGATGAACGACTGACTGGTGCCCATTGAGGGTTTTGATAAGGCGACTGGCTGACGAGAAAGGCAGCGGCTGATGAAGGAAAAAAGACGTGAGCAGGGAGGAACGGTATCTGGATGTGTCTGGCTGTGCGTGCGGCTGTATCTTCACTGATTGATTGATTGATTGATGGGTTCGAGCGAGGGAAAGAGACGGAGGGTGCGTGTGCTGTTCTCTGTCTGTCTGTCTGTTTGTGTGTGTCTGTGCGTGTGTGTGCGTGTTCGGCCTGCTTTGCTGCTGCTGGTTCGGCTCACCGCATTGGTTGATTCATTCACTGATTGTCTTACTCATTTCTTGTGGTTTTGGCGTACACCCACCAACATAATCCTACCATACCTACGATCATACTCACTCATCCACTCACTTGCTGACTCACTGCACACGGCCGACACGCATGCGAGAGGCGATACATCCATCCATCATTCGTCGACGGCCGGCCGAAAGAGACACCGGCCGAGTGACTGACGGGTGCGCCCAGCCAGTCTCCGTGTGTATCTCTTGTGTGTCCCTCTTCTGTTCTATCTGCACGTATTCGTTCTTGCTCTATGTACGTGTGTGTATGGATCGCAATTGCTCCCATCCGGATGGCAATAAGTTTGCTTGGCCGAGTGCGAGCATCGCAGCAAATGATTGCGTGTGAAGGAATGAAGGAACGACTGCAGGACGGACGTGAAGGATGAGGGAGCGAGCTGGCGGTCTGTCTATGATGTATATGTGTATGCGCATCTGTATGCGTATGTATATATGTATTGGTCGGGCGATGTGTATGAGTACAGGTACACACGGCTGGCTGGCTGGGTGGGTGGTGTGGGCTTGCTCGGGCGGCTTAGCTTAGCCGTGCCTTTTTGAGCTGCCTACGCCAGCCCGTATTGTGCGTGCCGTGCCGTGCCGTGCTGTGCTGTGCTGTGCTGTGCTGTGCATGAATGAAACGAACGCGTTTTTGTATACACACGACATGTACACGCATTTTGTGTATACATACACACATACATACATACATACTTACATGCATACTGTCTAATTCAATGAATCGATACACCTATTGGGGTGCATAATTCGACAATGTCAGACAGGCCAGGCTATCAGACAAAAGGGGGGCGGAAGCGCATATATGTGTCCATCGTTGTGTGGCTGGCCTGCCTCTGCGTGTGCCCCACAGAGCGCACATTTTATACATGTACAAACACATGTAACGGGCAATTTTCTGTCTCGGGTCAAGTCTCAGCAAGTGGTGTACACGGGTCTGTCTATCTGCCCTGTCGGTCTGTCTGCCTGTCTGTCTGTCTGAACTGGCCCCCCACATTTTTCGCGTAGGCAGGCAGGGCAGGCAGTATGGGAATGAATGACTGTGGATGAGCTATATGGGTGGCCGGCCGGCGAGGCGCCCAAAGATGCGTGCACAGACCCAGGAGTGGGCACGCCAGCCGGCCCACTCACTTACTCATTCGCTCACCTATCTGACTTGTCTGTATTACTGTATGTCTACGAGATGTCTGTCTGCCTGTGTATGGGTGGGCCGGCGACAGTTTTCTCTAATTCATCGACAGTGGTGCATGGACTGTGTACGGGTGGGTGCCCGTGTGTATGTGTGTGTGTGTACGTGTGCATGCATGCACATAGGCGTCAGTCTATCCCTTATCCCATCAACGTTTTGTCTTTTTTTGTACATGTGCACATCACACCCGATGTGACGTGATGCGGTAAAAGTGCGTGAATGCCCATCGATCTACCACCTATTGACCAATGAGCTTCTCCTGTTTGTGGTTTTTGTGTTGAGAGAGATATACATGAATTGAAACGTATGCTTAGTCACCTCGCTCGCTCGTACCGCCCGAGACACGTCAAGAGATACCTGCGTTTTGATGGCGGACGCTCCATCGTGTGGTCGCTGGCGATGGATGGATGGATGGCTGAGCTATGTTAGGGAGTGAGTGTGTAATTTTTCCGTGGGGCAGACTAACGCCACATAAGACACACGGACGGGTGCACGGCCTGTGCAGTGAGGGGTGGGTCACGTGATGGGTGTGATATCTATACGTGTGAGTGCGTATGTAGTGGCAATTAGTGGTCCTCCATATATACACTTGGAGAGACTGGAGGGTGTGATCGGGTGGAGGGGATGCTGCCTGGGGGTCCCGTCGAGCGAATGATGTCATTCGTTTTGAGTTGGGTGTGCGCGGCGGTGAGCAAGTGATGAGCATCTATGGACTGACTCACGTGTGCCTGGCATCCGTGTGCATGTACTGATGATGATAGCGGATGGCGACTGACGGATGGATGGATGGATGGTGCGTTCCATTCCATTGCATGCGCACTCACAAGGACTTGATCTGATGGTTGCACGTGCCGTTGTACATGAATGAATGCCTTCACTCCTCATTCCGTCAGTCACGATAAACAACACGCGAGACAGACCGACATTAATCAATCCACCCACCCATCTGTACACACCCCTCCCTCCCTTCTCTATCCGAACCACCCCCCGCCGCCCATCGTCCTCGGTACGCCACCATCCGCCCCCTGCAGTCTTCTCCGGAGTGCTTGTTCCGTCTTGAGTCTGTCCAGTTCCCCCTCCAGCAGCCGCCTCTCGGCCTTGCTGAGCGTCTCCTGCCGCAGCTGACACCTCAAAAGGAACTGGCGACACGAGGACCCGAAGTTGAGAAACGACACACGCCAGTCATACCTAAACACACACACACACACGCAGACGTGCACACACCCACGTATGGACGACTCTCCCGGCTTGCCGTTGATATGTCGGTGTATATATCCACGTACCAGAAGAATTGTTGGTGGAGGTTGATCCAGTCGAAGTATTTGTTGCTTCCCTCGACCAGGCGCTTCCAGTAGACGAAGCCCAACCCACTCATGCAGCCAGCCAGGTGACCCGCCCACGCTATCGTCACGAAGGCCTGCATGCCACCCCGCCCACCCACGCGATATCCGCCACCCCCCAGGCGCCACCTCGTGTAGTAGTGCATCAGCAGATTGATGCCCACTGACAGGTCTGACAGCTGCAGGGCCGTCAGGGAGAGTGCTGGTAGGGGGAATATCACGATGTAGGACTCACGCGGCCGCAGACACGCCACGACCATCGACAGGGCCATGACCATGCCCGAGGCGCCTGCCACGGGCATCCCGGACGTTCTCACCTGCACCAGTGCCGCTGCCGCACTCGACAGGCCGTACAGCGCCAGAAAGTCGCGCGTGGACAAATCAGAAGCCACCGAACGACCTGCGGACAGACACAGATGCACACACATTTTTCTGCATGTATGCGTGTTTCTCATTCACGGTACCGAACAGATCCAGGGCCCATGCATTGACGAGGAAGTGTGGGAGGGTGATGTGGCTGAAGCCGCAGGTCACCAGCGTGTGGTACCGGCCATTCTTGAGTGCCTCTGGCGAGCAGATAAAGTGGCGAGAGAGGGAGTTGATGATGTGCGGCATGCGCCGCCTGGCGCCCAGCCGCCACGCCACGAAGACGGCCGTGTTGGCGAGCAGCGAGCCGGTCAGGGCGGGGTTGCGGAAGGACGAGTGGTAGGCGAATGCACGCTCCATTCCATCGCTGATGTTATCTAGGAACACATTACCATCCATGGTTTGATGATGAGGCAATCAGCCTCTGTGCTGCCCCTGTGCTGCCCCTGTGCTTCTCGGCTGCAATCCCCGGAAACGATCAGGGTTTCGGGCTAAGCTCGCAGTGATGACGCAGTCGAGCGCGACGATGTTCGCTCCCCAGTTTGATGTAAGCGTTTAAATGGTCAATATGATGTTCGTCCTCTTCTCTTTTCGTCCCCCTCTGGTGTGTTTGTCAGATGGATATGGTGGAACATGTGCACACCGAGTGTCTGGCGCTGCCTCGGCTGGAGCGGCTGTGGTACTCCATCAAGCGAGACCTGCTCACACAGCCAGAAGCCGATGGAAAAGTACGCACCACAACAACACCACACAAGTTGTGTGCAGACGCCACACCAATCCGCGTCTGTCTGTCTGTGTTTGTGTATGAGTGCAGATCAGCGCCATGACGTTTCTCCGCAAGGCCCGCCGCTTCCTGCTGCGGGCCCCCCCCCCCAGCCCACAGAGGGACTCCCACCCGCCCCGACACGTGAGTGCGGCGGAACCCAGCAGCGGGGGACAGCTCATGTCTCCCTTGTCATCCACCGGGCCGGGGCCCCTCTCTGCCACATACGCGCCGGGCGGGGGGATTGCTCTGAGGAAGGGGGAGAGGCGGGACAGCATGTCGGGGCCGGCTGTGACGCAAGAAGAGATGCTCCTGGGTAGGGGAGACGCGGATCTGTGCCGTCTGTGTCAGCCGATATGGATTGCCGTCTTGTGCTGTCTGTGTGGGGTTTGTGTGTTATGTTGAGAGCTGCTGTTTGATCGAGTGGACCGGCGGAAGCAGGGGTTCCTCAAGGCCATCGATCTCGTCACGGCACTCATACTCGTGAGTCTCATGAGACACGAACACACAGGCACAGAAGACGGCCGTGCAGCATGTCTGAGTGTTGCCTGCAGATCAGCAAAGCTGACCAGCTGACACGCCTGCGGTCCCTATTCAGGTAAATGAATACACACTGGCCGCTCAGCAGTCCACACACATACACGTGTGAATGAATGCATCACTCAACCATCCCAGAGTGTTTGACGCGGATGACGACGCGTGTCTGTCTCCTGACGAGATCTTCGAGCTGTACTTCGCAACACAGCGCAACGACCTCACCAAAGACCGCACCGCACTGCTCGCAGACATCCTCTTCGCTGACGAGCTGTCCCTGCAGCAGGCCCGGCGGCTGTTCGAAGTCACGATGGAGTCACTTACTCAGGCAGCAGGCAGCATTACCGAGTTTGTGATATTCGATGAGTTCGCCAAGGTCTTCGAAAGGCTGCCCTACCTCATACACAGACTCCTGCCAGGACGGTAAATAAGCTGACACACACACACAGAGACAGACAGACAGACAGGGGAGGGGCAGGGCTGATTGAGGTGTGGATCGGATCCCCACGTGCGCAGATGTTCTCTCCAGTGGGTGCTCAACGAGTATCGGCCGACGGGCGAGGAGGTGAGAACCCACCACACCCAGGCAAAGGGAGCAAATGCCGTTGGCATTCATGGTGTATATTTGCAGGTGGCCCCCGTCGGCCGTGCTCTCCGTGACGACACGAGACACAGATTCAAAACCGCACTCAGACGGGGAAATGTACGTGCGTATGTGAGCGACCGACGGAGACACACATTCACACACTCTCTGTGTGCTTGTCCCATGTGCCCCATCAGGAGCCATTGCAGCTCGACGATGAGCAGGGTCGCGGCACGCGAATCATGGCGGCGCACCTGCAGCCCACACAGCCCAGTCCACGAGACACAGCACCCATGGCCATCAAGGACGCTGCCAGGGGTAGGCGGCAGGCAGACACTCAGCCACAGCCACAAATAAATAGCCGCCACCCCTTGCTGTTGGTCAACAGAGTACTACGATGCTGCCGTGATAATGGAGGGCCTCCCCGGCCGGGCGTCAGAGTCGTCGGCGTTCATCACTTCGCCCAAGAGCCAGCGGCCCAGCTCCGGCACACACAGAGACGATGACGGCGTCAGAAGCCCCACAAGAGAACAGCCGCACACACCGGCCGCAGGCCAGCCCGAAAGCCCCGCCTCCCCAACTGAGAGTCTCACCCTGGCTTTGCCGCCCGCCGCATCACCTACCAAAGGCAAACAGGCTGCCCCAACAGCAGCAGCAGGAGCTGGCGAGGATACTGTCAAGAGTTCTCAGAAGCCGTCGGCGGTCAGCCGGCTGGCTGCGACGCTGAATGTGCGGAGCGGCCAGCAGTCCGCAGCAGGATCAACAGCACCGAAGGCCCTGGCTCTATCCAAGACGGCGCCACAGGCCATTATCCTGAGCAAAGCCAAGGTGGCGTGAATGGGCATGGAGGGAAGACGGCTGGTGATCTCCCTCTCTGTGTGCAGGCGCCTCCTGCGATAGCCACTGATACGGCGGATGGTGACCAGAAGGACACTGTCACGTCACCAGCATCTGCGGCAGCTGCTCCTGCTGCAGGTGGGCTTGCCTGCCAACCATCACCTCTGAAAAGCAAAGGTCGGTCGGTGTGTGTGATCGGTCAGATGGTGCTCATGGTGAGGCGGCTGATGGAGGGGCGCAGCCGTCTGCCACGGCAGCACAAACTGGTAAGTCAGCAGGCACCACGGACGACACGCACTTAGATGGATGTACGTATGTCTGCGTGTCTGTGTGTGTGTGTGGCAGAGAAGAAGCGCAAGCCGCGAATCAGCAGCAAATACTCAATACAGGTCTGTCGGTGGCCCGGCCCACAAGCAGCTGAATGTCCATGTATCTGCGTGAGTGTGTCTCATGTCTCATCCATGATCAACACGTGTGTGTGTGTGGACTGGTGTGTGTAGGAGGCGGCTTCTCTGCCGACCTTCGAGACTGCATCCATGAACCACAAATACAACACACTTTTCAGGTACACACACACAGACGACACACAGCCCATTACTCACTCCCTTAGTCACCGGATGGGCGTGTGTGTGTGTGTGTGTGTTCTGTGTGTGTTGGTATGTGTTGGTGTGCAGGTCGCTTCGTCGTGACCCTCAAGCTACTGGTTGGGGCCGGGAGAAGGGCGAGGTGGACCGTTCGTATCGCTATCACTGTCTGGTGTGTGCCATGCCACACGAGTTCACATTCACGACAAAGGGCGAGCACTCACACACACACAAACAGGACTGACTGACTGACGGCTGGACCGCAGGCAGGCCAGCGAGATGTATGGGGAGGGAGGGAGGGGGGGAGGGGGAGGGAGGGTCCGTGCAGTGAGTGGTAGGGGTTTTACACGTATGTATGTGTATGTGTATGTAATAGAATGAATGCCCCATTTTGCTGTATGTCTGATAGACAGCCTTCCTTCCTTCAGATGTGGTTCACGGCATGGCATGACGGATACATACCATTCATTCATTGGGGCCTTCCTGCCATGCACGGAACACAAGCAATGAATGAACCACGAGTGCAATCAATGAGTGACTACAAATCCCCGCCATCCGTCCGCAACAAACAAGCCGACATACATACTACATGATGCAGATGCACACACTGCACTGCACTGCCACTATCGCTCGCTCGTTCCCACTTGGCGTCTCGCTCGCGGCAACCAACCAACGACCGGCTGTCTATGCACAGGAATCGACAAAAGGAGCCGAGAGAGGGAGGGTGGGGAGGGTGGGGAGGGAGGAGTGGCTGGGATCACATGCCGCTGTATGCGGGGCCCCCGCCGCCCTCCGGCACAGTCCAGTTGATGTACTCTTGGGGCGTCTTGATAGAGCAGCACTTGCAGTGGACGCAATTCTGTGCGTTGATCTGCAGGCGCATCTCACCACTCGATGACTCGTCCGGGAGGAACTCATACACCCTGATCAGGAAATGCCCACACCGCACCGACACACAAATTGATCAGTCATCACACCAGCACCACCAGCAAGCATTGCTGTCCGTCAGGTCTCTACTTACTTTGCTGGGCAGAATCTCGACTCAGGTCCGGCGTATTGCTTCCACGACACATTTACGGGCACGTCTGCCAGTGGGGGCTTCACCTGACCACCAGCACTCCATGAATGAGATTGTCTGTCTGGTCTGTGCGTGTAAATGGGTCTTGTAAGTGCCCCACCTTAAGGTGTGCCGGTTGGTCGTGCTCGTGATTGGTGCCCGAGCGGACCAGATTCTCAAGCAGGTCAAAGCTGACCACATCACACATGGAATGCAATCGAGGCAAGAGGCGCCGCTGCACCTACCTGATTTTGCCGTCTGGTTTGGGGTACTCGATGGGCGTGTGTCTGTCCTTGGGGTCGGTGGTGTCGCAGTCCTTCTTGTTCCAGGTGAATGTCCACGGCTCCCGCCCACCAGTCACGTTGAGAGTGAACCCAGAGTAGGCCAGCCCGCCGTACAACCCACCCCACTTGAACGCAGGCTTTGCGTTGCGAACCTGACACACACACAGCCAGACACACGGCAAACACACGTTATCTTCTCGATAAGGATGCCCTCTCCCCTTCCCTCCCTCTCGACATACCTGCTGCAGCTCTTGCCAGACCCAGGAGCCCTCCATATTGGTCTGGTACTCGGCCAGCTCGGCGCCCTCGTCCATGGCCTCTCCCCTGTCGATGATAGCCTTGGCCACCGTCTCCCCCGCCAGCATGCCCGACTTGATCGCCGTGTGGGATCCCTTGATCTTGGGCACGTTCAAAAAGCCGGCGCCGCAACCTGTCAGCACACCTGACAGACAGACAGACAGAAATGGGGGCCAGAGAGACAGAGAAGTGTCGGTGTGTGCACATGGACACTCGTCGGCCTCTGTGTGTGTGTGTGTTTATGTGTTTGCGTACCTCCCGGGAAGGTGAGTTTGGGGAGAGCCTGCACGCCTCCTTCATTGAGGCATCTGGCGCCGTAGGAGATGCAGCGGCCGCCCTCCAGCAGGGGCCTGATGGCCGGGTGGTGCTTGAACCGCTGCAACTCCTGATATGGACTGCACACAACACAACACAACGCAACACGACACGACACACGCAGTGTGCTGGGTGGCTGTGTTGCCTCCGATGGATTGATCTGATGTCCCCCCCCAGGCTACGCACCTGAGGTATGGGTTTCTGTAGTCGAGTCCGACGACCAGGCCCAGCAGCAGGAGGTTGGGCTTCATGTGGTACATGAAGGACCCGCCATAGGTGAACGCGTCGAGAGGCCACCCAACCGTGTGCACCACCAGGCCGGGCTTGGCCTTGTCCTCTGCCAGCTCCCACACCTCCTTGACGCCTAGGCCGTACTGCTGCGGGCTCCGCCCCTCACGCAACGCATACCTCGCCATCAGGGCCTCGCTTAGCGACCCGCGGCAGCCCTCAGCCAAGATCGTCTGCTTGCCTGAACCAACGACGCACGAACAAAGAGAGAGGGATGGAATCAGAGCCGCCGGGGCTTCCTTCGTGTGCCTGACATCTAGCTACCTTTGAGGATCATTCCAGGCTGGAAGGTGTCCTTGGGTTTGCCGGCCTTGTCGATGCCGACATCGGCTGTCTGCACCCCCACGAGTGCCCCACCATCGTTGAAGACGCCCTCGGCGGCCGAGAATCCGGCGAACACCTCCACGCCCATGTCCTCTGCCTGGCTGCCCATCCACTTGCAGAGGTTGCCCAGAGATATCACGTGGTTGCCGTGGTTGTCTATCGTGGGCGGCAGCAGCATCGGCGGCACCTCCACTGCACTGTTCTTGGTCAGCAGATAGAAGCGGTCGTCGGTCACGGCTGTGTCCAGCGGCGCGCCCCTCTCCCTCCAGTCGGGCAGCAGCTCGTTGAGAGCTCGCGGCTCGAAGACGTTGCCGGAGAGGATGTGTGAGCCGATCTCGGCACCCTTCTCGATCACACACACGCTGATGTCACTCCCCCGGTCCTGGGCCACCTGCTTGGCGCGAATGGCCGCCGCCAGACCTGCCGGCCCGCCGCCGACTATCAACACATCGTACCTGCAGAGAGAAGCGCACGGGGATCATCCATGGATGGATGGATGCGCACGTGTGTGTGTGCCCATCACTTACTCCATTGAATCTCGCTCCATGCCCTCAGGCAGTGCACTGAACCATCGACATCCCCTCCGTGGACACACGTAAGGTCTGCTGAACAGCCTCGCTGGCCTCGTCAGACTCGCAATTCGCCGCATGAATGGCGTGTGAAAAATCAGCGTCGCTGATGATTTATCACACCAACAGGCACTGGCAATGGCAATCGACACTCAGATACGCACAACGTTCAAAAGGAAATCGGCGCACCAATGCGAGCTCAAATTCACACCTAAGCTCGCGCCTCGAAAAAGGGAGCTGGAAAAAGATAATGGCGGCAGTGGCCTACAGCCCCTCCATCGCATCCGACACCTTCGCGTTCACTTTGTCCGAAGTCGGAAAACTGGGCTTCGAAGGGGCCAAGGAACTGCGCGACGGAGGGCCCTCGTGGGAAGGCGAGTGCCCCTTTGCAGACCATCAGGCAAGCTGCCTCTTCTCGCATGCATCTCACACACCATTGCAAGCATGGCTATGTGTCTTCCTGCAGATATGCTTCGGCGGCCGCAGCTATGCGGTGCATCGTGTGTTCCTGGCGGGAGGGGAGCGGGCGTCTCTGTTCTTCAAGGGCGTCTTCGACTCTGAGTTTGACCAGCGCTGCGGCAAGAGGGCCACCGACCTCAGCTGCCTGCTGCCCCCCAGATGCACCCCGCGGCTGTTCGAGGCCGTGTTGGATTTCTTCTACTACAAGGACGACCGATGGCGGAGGACCATGGCTGACAGCGAACTGGAGGAGCTCGTCACGCTCTTCCAGGTGGCCGATGTCCTCGGGCTCTGGCGGTTCTTCCATGTCGTTATTGGCTTCCTACACGCACACATCACCAAACACGGGGCGCCCGGGGCTCTGGAGCTACTCGGCACTCTGAGGGAGATCGGCGTGCAAGGCGGACTGGGGCATGTGGAGCGGGCTACTCTCGAGCACCTGGCGGCGAACCTGCCTGAGATCCTGCCAAGGGAGGATAGGAAAGCTTCTGCCGAGAGCACACCCAAGACGACGGACAAGAGCTCTCGAGACGGCAGCCCGTCGCCGGTGTCATCTCTGTCAGACGAGGCTGCCGACGACGCGTATCGGCATATCCTTGCCATGGAGCCGCTGCACCTGAACGCCATCCTGCACAGCGACAAGTGCCGCCACCCCTTCCCGCCCTTCACTCTTTCTGAGGCACTCGCACACTACATCGCACACCAGCCTGCTGTCAGCGAGACACTCGCCCTCTCCCTCGTCAACAGCATCACCCCATTTCCCTGGTCAGCAAAGGCGGCCACACTGCTCTTCAAAACCTCCCTGGAACGCTCTCTCAACGACCTGCTGCTGTGGACTGCGCGAGGCGTCGCTTCGACACTGTCTCCCCCATCACAAGTCATTCTTTCCGGGGTGCCGGATGAGCTCCTGCAGCGGGTCATGGCGCATCCCTGCCTGAGGAGTCAGGAGAAAGGGCCATCGAGGCCGTCATCTGCCCACGGAGGTGGCGACCGAGAGAAAGGCGGGCTGTTCTCTCGCCTCCTCCGTGCATCCCTGCCGTCGGTGCCGGTGCGTCTGGTGCAGGAGATTCAGAACGCCCGGCTGCTGTCGACGCCCGGCGGGATGAGAACGGGGCGGCTGGTGGGCAGGGACAGAGAGACATGCGGACTGCCCCCGAGGTGCCCCTCTGTCGCTTTAGGGGGCACTCCCCCTTCCAGAAGACCGCCATCAAGACCGCCCACCAGAGGAGGCCGCATACTGAGGGCCTCTCCTCGCGGCGAGCAGCAGGGGAAGCAGCCGTCAGAGGGCAGCTGTGAGGGCAGGCCGCCGACAGCTCCAGCCGGCAGTGGCCGGAGACACAGGTGGAACAACAACTGGGGAGGAGACACACACACGACGGCGAATAGTAACGAGAAAAATCCGCCCTCGATCGACGAGCAAGAGGACAATTCGATGGACATCGAGCCGCCATGCATGGAGGAAGGCGAGGGCAACCGCACATCCCGCGGCATGGGCCGGCCGACCAGCCCTTTGGATGAGTTCCCCGCCCCACCCACAGGCTTTCGGCTGCCCGACTGCAGCAGCGGTGACGACTGCATCGACTCCCCCCTGCCCACCGGCCGCACAGAGGCAGGGTTTGAGGTGTCCTCCTTCTTCATCACCAAGAGCGTCAGCATCGGCCGCCCCCTCACACCCCTCGCATGCAGGAGCCCTCTCCGGGCTGCTCAGGCCCAGGCCAGGGGGGAGTGCAGCAACGAGGGGTCGCCCTGTAGCTCTCAGGCGCCTTCGCCCAGGGTGACGACCTTCTTCCAACATTATAGTGATGAAAGGGCCGTGCCGAGAACGCCAAGAACGCCGAGACAGACACACACACAGGAGGAGAGACCGACCGGGGTCAAGGAAGAGCCCCTGACCTCGCCCCGGCCGCCGTGTCCGGCGTCTGCTCGAGGGGCACCCCTCTCGCCCTCCGGGAAGCCGCCCAAGAGCCCCACATCCATTCGCATCCCAAAGCAGCAACAGCACTCCCCTTCTGCTGCGACAGCGAGTACCGCCGAGAATGCGGAGAAGGGCATGCCGCCAGGAGCAGCAGCCACATCCCGATCGCACCAGCCACGTGTGAGAGAAGAGGAGCCGTGGCGCATGTCCCCTCCCGCCTCCCCACCCTGTGAGCATGAGCATGAGCAGGATGAGGAGGAGGCGTTATCATCTGATAATGAGGTCGACGATGCGGAGAGGGAGTACCGGTCTCTGCTGTCCAAGGGGCGAGCGGAGCTGCTGCGGCGGTGTGCTGGAGACGTGTGTGGGGATGCGGCTGTGAATGAGGACGACTGCCTGGAGCTGCTGAGACACGCAGTCGCCATGAACCATAGGGGCCTCATGGACAAATGCTGCAAGGTCACACAGGAGAAGGAAGGAGACACAATGGGGAGGAAGGGAATGCCACTGCTTACCTTCTTACAGGTGTTGGCCCAGAGTTTCGGCAATCATGGGAGGGATGATCTGCTGAGCGTGCCCCCAGAGCCCCTGGCAATGGTCCTCAGTGACCCAGACATCAATGTAAGCAGCCCACCGCCCACCAATAAAGAGTCCGGATGTGCGTTGTGTCTCTTCCACACACACATACGACATGCATGCAGGTGGGTTCCTACAAGCTTCAGGACTTGATCCTGTCGTACTTCCAGCGGCTGGTCTCCCTCTCCCCCTCCCCACCTCCACCAGACATCACGCCCCCCCAGGCCCATCCTCACCCTCACCCTCACCCTCACCCCGGTCCTCACACTCGCCCCTCCAGCCACTACCGAAGACCCCACACATCAGACGGCAGCAGCAGTGGTGGTGGTGGTGCGCTCGGCCGCGGCAGCCGCCTGAGAGGCGCCCCCCACACACACGCACATGCCCGCCGAGCACGGTCGTTTGGCAGCAGCAACACCCACGTGCCGCCTCCCCTGTTCCACCAGCAGCCCACCACCACCACCCCAAGTCATCGTAAGCAGGTGCTCATGACGCCTTCGTGCTTCGCGTCTCTGGCGAGGCACGTGTGCATGGGGCGGCTGGGTGCGGGGGGCGAGGGGTATGCGAGTGTGGAGCAGGTGCAGCTGCTGCAGAGGCTGGCATTGCACCACGGACATGTGGGCTTGTATGTCGGGTGCATGAAGGGGCTGAGGGAGAGGGGGGTGGGGGGCGAGGGCATCCTGCCCGCCAGCCTGCTGCCTGATGTGGCCTGAAGGGATGGATGGATGGATGCATGGACTGTGGTGACTGCAGTGTGTCTGCGCGCGTGTGTGTTTGGAAGAACAAAGTGTGCGTGTGTGTGTGTTGCTGGCCCGGGCCCGGCCAGGGGCTTCTTGGGTGCGTGCGTGGTGCGGATGCCTGTGTGTATGCATCCGTCCGGTGATCGCAACTAAATGGCATTCGACAACAGTTCACTCAGACATACATAGAGCACTCCCAGAGAGAGCACACGGCCTCTCTCTTGTACATCCATCCATCCGTCCATCCATCCGTCTATCTGGGAAGTCGGTCATCCTCCCTCCAGGCATCCAGTGGAAACAAAAGGCCATCTCTCTCACTTCACTTACACACCGCATTCATTCACACACACAACAGACAGACACGCTAATTATTTGTTGTCACAACCATCATGGTTATCCAATCACGCCAACCAACACAAGCACTCTTACACACCCCAGGGAGGGTGTACAAAAGCCTGCGCATAGATCATAACATCAATGTGCCCACCGCCTCTCTGTCTGTCTGTCCATCTGTGTGTCCATCTCTCTGTGTGTCTATCTATCTGAAGAGGTGTGCGTATGTGTGAATGAACATGCGCATGAGCGGCTGGCACTCCAAAAACTGTATGTGCGCCGCACGACCGATGTAGGCGTCCAAACTCCTAAAATAGCAGCAAGGAAACACACACACACACACACACTACACTGGCCCGCGTGAGGGTCACCGGTGGGTGTGCTTACTTTTCGGGTATGTGGAAGTTGACGTCGAATCGTGTCACGCGCGTGACGTCCACCGTCTTGAAGAAGTTGCGGGCCATCTCGGCGTAGGACGTCGTCAGCCTGACACAAACATATACACATGGACACATCAGCGCCCACCCATTGCACACACGCTCGTCTGTGTGTGCGTGGCCAGGTTGCAGGCTCACGGACTTGACGTCGGTTCCAGGGTTTTTGGATATCTCGATGCGGGCAGAGTCGTAGGGCGCGTACTGATCCTGACGGATAACATCGATTGAGGGGATCAGGATCAGTACGCGTGCGTGTGTGGCAGACCCACCTGCCACGATGACATGAGCACAATGTGCTGAAACTGATCCAGACCCTGCAGCAGTCACGGCCACACACAAACATGCCTTGTGCGTGTGTGTGTGGTGGGTTGTGTTGGTTCGTTGCGGCCCCACCCACCGAGTAGTTGCTGAGTTTGTAAATGAAGGTGTCGCGGGGCTCCTTGGCGTCCGTCATGGTGAGCTGCTGCAGACACTGAGACTTCTTCCACTTCTTCAGGAACCACATCCCTGCACACAACACAAGCACACACACACGCCCCGTGGCATGGCTGACCTGCATCGCACTGCCCTTCCCTTCCCTGTGTGCGCTGCACTGCACTGACCGGCGTCGACGAGTTTGTTTGCGTTGTTCATGTACCCCAGGTGCGGCGTGGAGAGGGTCAGGTACAGCCCGAAGTGGCCCCAGTACTCGCGCAAGTGCTGCACCGCCGCACGAACTGCATCAACACAGACAGACATGTCATCTGCATGGCTGTGTGTGTGTGTGTGTGTGTGGCGGGGTACCTACCGATCAGCCCGCCGAGCGAGTGTGCGATGAACGACAGCCTGACAGAAAACAGGAGGCCAGAGTGTGTGTAGCCGTTTGGGTGTAGATGTCATGTCCTTGTGTGTATGTGTGTGTGTGCAGCCGACCTGCCGAGTGCGCTGCCGGGGCACCAATCCGCGATGGCGTGACGCACCTCCTAACCACACGCAACGCACACAGACAGTCACGTCCTTCCTCGTGTGTGGTGCCAGTCAGTGTGCCCTTGGTGTGTTTGTCACCTCTGCCAATCGCTGGCCCATCTCGTCAATGTCACCTGACGCAACCAACGCAGGCAGACACACAGACAGGAATGAATGCGCAGCACACAAGAGAGGAATGGAATGGAGGCTGCTTACACAAAAAGATGCACACAGTACAGCAGCGTAGCGTACCTTCGGTTTTGTCTTCATTACAGGAGGAGCAGAGGTAGACGCACTCGGGGAAGAGCAGCGCCAGGTGGTTCCGCATCAGACGCATGTCCCACGAATTGCCTGCACACACCCGCAGCCACACACAGATGGACAGACAGACTGTGGCGTGCGTCCATCTGCGAGATAGGTGGGTGTACTTGCCTTGGAAGCCGTGCACCAGGACGACCAGGTGAGTGCCTTTGTAGGGCTTGGGCTGAGAGGGAATCACTCGAGGTATGGGAGGCACCTGCACACGCACACACACTGGAAGATCGTGCGCCCTCCCTCCCTCCCTCCGTTCCTCCCTCCCTCTTCGTTGTTACCTTTTTGCTGTTTGCTCTGTTGGAGGTGATGGGTGCCTGTCTGTTGGACAGCATGGTGAGGGCCTCTTTGCTCTGCCAGTCGCCGACGAGCCCCCGGGCGCCGGCGTCCTTGAGCGTCACATACCGCTGCTCAAAGATCGTCGGCTGCGTCTCGGCTGTCGAACTGATGAGCACATGATAACCACACACGCCCTCATCCATCAAAATGGTGTGTGCGTGTAGGAGGCTGGCTGGGTTACTTCACTTACCCGGCGATGTCTTCGACGAGGCTTCTCTCCTCCTCCCCAAACACAGCCGATGGCTGCAGAAGCGACGAACGCACACGATCCTGATGGTATACACACACACACACGCAGAGAGACGGGGCGTGTGTGGCCTGATCTGTCTGTCTACTTATTTGTGAGTGCCGCCCGCTCGACTCGACTGACCGCTTCTTTCTGGTGTATCTCCCATGTGGCCAGGTTGGTCTCGTATGACGGCGACACCGCCAGGTCACTGACCCACCCACCCACCCACCCACCCACACACACACATACACATACACACACACATACACATGCTTCTTGTATCGAATGTGGGATGAGGTGTGTGCCTACTCGAGTGGAATGAGGTCCCTGAATATTGCCTCGCTCCACCTCTCCAGCACCTGACGCTCCCACTGCACACGAAGCAACATCTGCAACTCTGCACGGTGCAGTCAGTCAAAACACACAACAAAATGACTCTGCGCGTGTCGTCGGCGTGTGCCAGGTGAGCACCTTTGGTGACGAAAGGGACGAGGTTGAGGAACTTGTGCCACAACTCAAACAGCTGAGTCGCTAACACGTGGAAATCCTGAGCGAGGCAAGCAACAAGACAGGGAGACAGACAGACGGACAGTCCCACGTTTTTGCTCCTCATCCGACTGGCCGTCTGTGAGTGGCTCACCTGGGCCATAAGCGTCGCGGCCGACTGTGAAGTCACCTCGTCCAGCCGCTCAGACAGAGACGGCACACACTGTGTTCAACAGCAAACACAGATATAGACGTGAGTGACGCAGGTACATACCACACACCCCATTGCATTACCCTCTCTCCCCCCGGCCACCAACCCACCTGCAGGTCTCTCTCCCAGTCGGGCATGTTCATGCCAAAGGCAGACGGGGGCGACAGGTTGGGCGGGGCGGAGGGGGGGCTGTCGTCGCCGATGTCGTCAGCTGATGTGTCGTCAGCTGACGATGCACTGGTAGTGTTGTTGCGGGTGGTGGCTGGGTGGCTGGCGGGCTTCTTGGGACGCAGGGGGGCCGATGTGGGGGACGAACCTGACACACACACACACATACGCAATCGATGGATGGGTGGAGGGAAGGGAGAGAGACTTACATGGCAGTTCCAGCGATGGAATGGCGAGAGAGTCACCAAACTCATTCCGCTGCACACATGAGGAAGGAACGGACCCATGGCGGCCGGCGAAGGAGCAGGCAGACGCCCGACCGACGTGTGTGTTGTACCTACCTGTGCTTGTGTGAGGCATCTGTTGACGTATGTGGTGAACTTGGACCTCAGGTTGTAGTACGCCTGCAGCAACAACCCTAGGTAATCCTGCATCAACACAACACAACACAACACAACACAACAAACAAAGTACACAACACAGGCTTGCTGCTTTGCACGCCTTGCGCACAGACTGTCTGGCTGTCCAGCCTGCCTGCCTGCCTGCCTCACGCACCCTGTGGCTCCTGTCCGCCACTTGCGCGAGCGAATCGCCGTCCTCAACAGACACTACACACACACAGCCCACACAGCGCATCCCTTCCTGCCCTCTCCTCTCCTCTCCTCTCCTCTCCACTCCTCTCCTCCCTCTCCCTGCTCACACTCACTCACTTCTGTTGGCGTATAAGAATTCCGAGAATGCGATCGGCCCTCCCCCTGCCCCTCCCCCCTGAGCCCCCCCGACCATCATGCCGCCGCCCGCCCCTGACGCCAGGCTGCTGGAGGTAGGTGGGAGGGGGGAGGGGGTGGGGGGACGCCGGGCAGCCAACTTGTGACGCGTCTGGTAGGGCGCGGACACCAAAGACGGCCTGCATTGCGGGATGGATGGGCGAGAGCAGCACAACACACAGGCGGATATATGTGACGTGACGGGGGATTGGCTGTGTGTGTATGTGTGTGTGTGTGTACCTGATTCTGAATCTGAAGTCCAGCAGCACGCTGTGGACCAGCAACACAGCTGAACGAACCCACCGAGCCAGCACATCCAAACATCCACCAGACACAAGGTGGACTGTCGGCGTGTGGGTGTCTGCCTCACCGGTGGCGAAATGATACTCGTCAAAGACGACCGGGATATACTCGTGCACGCCTGACATACATACAACGAAACACACAAACAATCACCGCTGACGCGATCGATTCATCTCCGCCCCGCGCCTCCACACACCGCACAGACGTACCAGTGGTGACATTGTTGAGCCGGTAGACCTGGTACGACACACTCTTGAACTCCGTCTTGTCCGCATCCTTGCCCCTATCACAGCCATCCCTCCCACCACCCTCACCGCTCCCACCAGGGGTGGCCGCCTGGCTGTTGGGCGGCATGTCGGCGGCATTGCCGCCCGGCTTGCTGTTCTGATTGAAGTCGGCGTACATGAGGTCGACCTCCAGATACAGCGGGGCAGACAGGAGCGTCTGGGTCAGGCCGGGGGAGCCGGGCCGCTCCTGCAAAATGCGCGCCACGTCGACCTCAATCCGGAACTGACCGATGTCGCCAAGCTCAACCTAGACAGACAAACAGGGCAGGAAAGAAGGGAAACACGCACACACACACACACATACACACGTGATTGATCATCTATCTCTTTTGTGTGGGCGTGTGTGTAGCGTTGCATTGCGTTGCGCCAGTCAGTCAGCTGCTGACCTCTTCTTCGCAGTATCGTATGATGAATGTCCTGGTGCTGAATGTGTACTGGTCGTCGGTGATGTGCGGGTCGAGCACGTTGTGCTGGTCAGCCCGCTGGTCCTTAAGCTTGACCGACTGACCTGACGAGGAAGAAGACGCAGAGCTCATACTCCGCTGGTGCTGCTCTCCCGAATGCGCATAGGGAATGGCTGAAATGATCTGCACACACACACACGCAGAGAGACGGTCACGCTGTCCATATTCCATTCCATTCGTGTGTGTGTGTGTGTGTCACCTGGTCGCCGGCGTCTTGGTATATCCTGGTCTTGAGGTGGTACATCCCCTGGTGGAAGAGATCCACATTTCGGAAGCTCTCGAAATGCACCACCACCTCAACCACGCCACGCAGCGCCATCACAACCACCGCAAACTCAACCAGATGAGCCTCAAACGCAGTCAGCACTCTATGCGGGCTGCCTACAAGCCATTGCAGACGTCCAACAGGGCGTTAAACAGGGGGACACTTTTGCGCGCTTGATCGCGAGAGCGAGCTTGAGTCTTTCGAGAAAGAAGGAAAGCAGGAAGAAGACGGGACGTGGTTTCCAGAGCTGTATACGGATTCAATTGTCCTGGCAATCGTCAACTGTTGGTTTTCCCCGATATTTCGGCCATCACTGTCTGCTCCCGCGTGATGAGGATGCCCGTCGTGATGCGGATCTGCCTCTTTCTCCTGGCCATCATCCTTCTCGGCGCCAGATGTGAAGACTCCCAAGTGGGCGTGGTGCACCAGGAACTCGCCAAGGGTATACGGAAGGACAGAACAGGATGGAGAGAGAGGGCAGAAATGAGCCAACCGGCTGCACGCACCGCAGCGTGTTGTGCTCACTGTACTGTATATATGTGTTTAGGCAAGCACCCGAGCCTGCGGTCGCTGCAGGGCGGCGGCTACATTGGCGGCGACAGAGACGGAGTTGGGCCTGCAGCAGCATTCGGGGGCTGCGGCCCGGCAGGGGCAGAATGCTTTGACGGTACGCATGAGCGATGAACACACACGATGGACAGTCGGGGCAGTCACGATTGGTCTCGTCAGACACCGAGTGCTGCTCTTTCGCCTGCACGTCTGGAGCCGGCTCAACCGCGGGTTTCTGCACGCCAACACGAGAGGACCTCCTCAACGACCCATCGTCCTTGCGGGAACGGAGGCCATAGATGGCTGATGGCGATTGATTGACACACACGTGAGGCAAAGGCGGGTGGTTGTACAGTCTAAGTTAGTACCCGATTGCTTCATTTGTGCGGTGCCTGTGTCGCTGCGTGAGACATTGAGTGGCTGGGTGGGTGCATTGTCGGATGGGGTTGCAGCGCATTCTCTGAAGCTTCATCTCGCTTTTTGCGTGAGGAACAAGGGGGGTGTGTGCGGTTGCGTAATGTGGTATTTGTTAAGTGAACTAACTGACTGTAAGGCCTGCCTGCTTGCCTGCCTCGGTCGTCTTTTTATCAGCTGTCGCACTCGATGTTGTGTATAGTGAGTGTCCATTCTGTCGGCGTGGTCAGCTCTGTGCATCACCATCGGCGGGAGACTCGTGCAGGCACGCACACATGCGTGTTGGCATCAGTCACTTGGTGGGGATCTGCAAGTTGATACGCATGGCAGAGAGGCATCATCTGTAGGAGCAGACTCTGAGCGAGGAGGGGAGGGGCATGACCCTTCATCGAGACGAAGTATCTCGAACACTCGGGTACATCTTTCACTGAGTACGCTACTTGCTGGCCAGGCAGATATGACGATGGATCTGAGTTGGCACTCGTAGGGTTTTCGTGGGTCCACTGGCATGTGTGACCGGCTGTGTGCTGACGCTGTGGTTGAATTCGGCGGTGGCCGTATTTGTGAGTTGGTGTTTGTTGAAGCGACTGATCCGGTTGTCCCAACGTGCATTCGTCGTACGCTGACACGCGCACAAGTCCCCAACTCGATCGTTTGGGGCCCGCTTGAGGAGTGTCCTTCCCTTCCCTCCCGTTCCTTGGTTCCTTGCTCCTCGCATCATCGCAGCCTTGCGTCGATACGCTGCACTTGACGTCCCTGGAGAGCCACTCGCCACTGGCAGTCGAGAGCCGTCTCCCCCTCTGAGAATTCCCGCAGCCATTGCTCAAGCTGATCAACAGCAACGATGTACCACCCTCCAGCTTCTGTTGTTGTCCCCCCCCAGCGGACCTTCGCTCCTCTCACCGGTAAGTCTGGTAAGTCAGCATTCATTGCCCCTTCAGCACCGTGGGTGTCTTGGTTTCAGGTCCCTACCGCACCTTTGCGCCCGTCAGGTGCCCCTCATCGGCCACCCCCCTCCCCTCCCGTCGGCCCACCCGCCCCACTACGCAGCAACTACCAGCCTCTCCCCCACCGGCAGCCCGTCGTCTCCCCCACGGCGCCTCCCCAGCAAAGGGGGTTCGTGGCTCCCCCCGGCGGCCAGCAGCCGGGCAACCTGCCGACTCAGCATGCCCATAGACCTCGCCGAGAGCTGGCGCCGCCCCTCAAGAAAATTCACGACCCGGACTCATGCGAAGAAGGAGGGGAACGGATTGGTAATTGAGAGAGAGAAAGGGGCAGAAGGGGAGAAGGCGACAGCGGTGAGGTGTGTGTGTGTGTGTGTGTGTTCAGACATGGTGTCCTTCATCGATCACATCTTGTATCTGTGGGAGGACGGCGACGACATTGTGTTCGCCACTGAGGTCTTGGGGGAGAACGGGTGTCTCGGGGAGCACCTGGGTTGCTATTTCGCGAATGTGTCGAAAGGTAAGATGACTACAGACACAGCCGGTGGGGGATGGATGCATCTGGCGTACACATTGGTGATTCTCTTCTGTATGCAGGCGGTGAATACTACTTCGTCGACAAGACGCGATTCGTAAGATAGACCACCTCGGCGCGTTGACCTGTCCACGCTGTTTTGTTCTCAGGCCCTTCCTGACGGATTCCGAGTGTACTCGTGGGGCCCCCGCCCTCTTGGGGGGATCCCCACAGGAGACAAGCACACCTTTTTCCGTTGGAAGTGCCCGAGGGGAGCGGCGGGGTACTTGCGGGATGCTCTTGTGCGTCAGGGCAGCATTCCATTCCACAGCGTGTATAACAAGTAAGGAAGAAAGCAACAAGGCTTGCTTGACATACTTTGCCGCATTTGCGTGTATATGGCGTGGCGTGTGTGCAGCTGTCAGCACTTTGAGAGGGACCTGCGAGCTGCCGCACTTGGTGTGGCACCGGCAAAGGTGCGGAGTCGAAGTGTGTGGAGAACATACATTGGTGACATTCTGCGCGGCTTTTGCTGCCCATGCTGCGCCCCCATTACCATTGGTGCATGACGGGGTGGGGGTGGGGGGATCGGTGCATGTCAAGCGTGTCCGTGCTTGGTCGATGTCGGGCTCTTTTTCCCCCAATGTCAGGCTGCTGGGAAGGTGCTGTTTCTGAGTTCATGAGTCCATGAGCGCGGGGGGAGTGAAGTACACCTACAAATCCTTTTCCTGTTGGCCGTGTCCCTTGCTCGAGAAAGGCTGCTTCCCTTCATGCATTCAATTTGTGGTGTCTGTTGAGTCTTATGACGTGTCTTGCAACGCACAGACAGCTCACGTCGTCTGTTAAGGGTTTCACGACCGTTTTTTGTTCTTCTCTGTGTTGTCTCCCAGACAGGTTCACGTCAGACATCGGATACCTAAGTCATTGCCCTCCAAGATGCGTTATTTACCTAACTCGTTTATCCACGACACCAGAGCCACAGTACGGTCAGATGCGGTGCAGCGCAGAACCACAGCACTTTGCATGAAACCCTCCTGTCAAACGAGAGCACGGAGACACACAGGGGCCATGAGCAAACGAGTCATACGAGGACACACGCGCACCTTTGGCCGACTGAGTCATACAAGCAAAGACAACACAGAGACATTCACACACTGACAGCTGACTCATTGACCATTTCTGTCCTTGTGTGTGACCTTAATGTGTTCAGTGCGGTTCCAGCATGGCAGTCCTTTTACAGCCATGGCCTGTCGGCCAGTCAGTTCTTTCCAAGGTATATGACACACAATCGATCGCACACACCGATTCGTATTCGTCTTGTGTACGCGTGTACGTATCCTTCAGTTTCGATATCGATTGCTTCGGATCGCTCGGCGTGACCGACCGATGTGAGTGATCGATGTGAACGATGTGAGTGGCGATGGAGGCCTCCCTCTCAGCCATGGCCACGTCCATCGCGGCTCTCGCCGTCACTGGATCCGCATGCCTCATCGGTGCACTCGCCGCTCGCACCATCCGGGCTCAGTGCGGGCAACGCAACAACAGCAACAGCAACAGCAGTCACAAGAGGCCTCTGCCGCCCTCCCAGTGTGCTGCCGCGCCGCCCCGCAAGCGCCTCAAGTCACTCAGCCAAAAGGGACGGCAGCCACACACCGATGACCATGATGATGACAGCATGGGTGCGAACGGGATGGATGACGGAATGGCGGCTGAGGAGAGAGAGGCCGACAGACACCGCAGGAACCACACAACATCGCAGTCGCAGATCATCAGGTCAGGCACATGATTCACTCACTCACCCATGAAGCTTGTTGATTGGCTGCTTGTGTGCTGTTTGTTGGTGGATGCAGTGCCGCGTTTCAGCTGAGTCACCATCACCACCAGGCCATGTCTCTCGCTCACCCACACCCTCCGCCCTTCGCCGCCCTCATGCTGCCCGTCCATGGCCACCACGCACACCCACACCCACACCCACACGCACACGCCGCCATACGACCACTGACAACAGACAACTCGATGATGATCCAACGTAACACACACAAACAGACAGTACCATGTCTCACTCCGTCACTTGTCTGTCTGTCTGTTTGTTGTTTATGCCTCTACTCAGGTGGAGGTGATGATGCATCTTCGTCTGCCATCGGGCCTGACGATTCAGTGTCACAGCGAGGGGCCGCCGACCACACCGAGCGACCAACGGAGGGGCAGGGAGAGGGCGGTGGTGGGTTGGAGATGGTGTCGTACAAGCGGCGGGCGCCGAGGCTCGAGATCAACATGAACGAGGAACAATGTATGCGCCATGCCGACACACAGCGAGACATGATCTGCATGATGGTCTCTCTTGTCCTGTGTGTGTGTGTGTCAGTGATGTCTGCTGTTGCGTCGTATCTGAGTGAGCGGTTCCCAGAGCAAACGCCACAATCCATACTCGCATCGGTCAGCCAAGCAGTCAAAGGCACACTTACACCTCCACCGTCCGTCTGTGTGTGTGTGTGCAGTTTGGTGTGTTGTGCAAGTGCGTTGAGATTGAGCGGGGCCACCTCGTGCTCGCGTACATTCTGTTCCAACACACAAACGACGACACCATACGAGTGAGGGAAGGAGGGAGGGAGGAAAGGCACCAAGCAGACCATCTATCGCGACGCGAGGCGATGTGTGTGCAGCGGTTCTCTGTCGACGTGTGGCTGAGCACAGTGTTTGCCTTCGTGCACCAGTTGTCGCAGCGCGGCAACTCGCAGCTCGACGCGATGTCCAACATCATGCAAATCGTCAAGAAGATGAAAGTACACACACACAGACAGACAGACAGACAGACAGCAGAGGTCCCATCCCAACCGCCTGATTCTGTGTGTGCATGAGTGTGTCTTTGTCCAGGTGCCGGTGTCTCAAGTGACGTCATGCTTCGATCTCTTCACATCAAGATTCGCAAACAAACGAAACAGTAAGGAAACACACGCACAATGCTCCCTCAGTCTGGCATTGTCGATGGTGTGTGTGTCTGTGTGTGTGTCAGTATGGCATTTGTTGGAGACGGAGGGCAAGGCGGCCGTCAAGTCGCTCGCATCAAGAACTCTCCGCAGGTGCACAACCATACACAGATGGCACACAGACGCATCCATGCATTGATGTATGTGAATTCCTCATGCACAGGAGTGCCCGTGTTCGTGAGATGGAGTCATCCAAGTCGAGCAACAACAACAAGCACACACCCGCCGCCCGCACCCGACAGCCGACCACCAAGAAGGACAAGAAGGAGAGTGAGGGCACGCTCTGGCTGCCACAGGCCCAATCGGATGCAGGTCAGGCCAAGCCTAACACACGAGATGAAAGGAGATGTCATCAGTGTCTGTGCGCTTCGCATGTGTGTCTTCAGGTGCAGCAGGTCTCTGTCCGTCCAGAGGGCCAAGAGCAGCAAGCGGCGGGACGGTGCGCGTGGGTGAACATGAGTGCATGAAGACTCAGACACAACAGCACCGGATACATGGTTCCATGTTGTGAACCGTCCCACATGAATGTCCCACATGTTGTGAATTCGCGATCGGTTGCCATGTCATTGCAGTCGTTGCCATGTCATCGTTCAGAGAGTGAGTCAGCCAGGCAGCCACACATATAGTCGCACATCGGCCGGAGCACCCACACCCACACACACAGATATCTCCTCAGACAAACAGACACAGAGGGAGGGAGAGAGGGAGAGAGTGCTGCACACAGAGAAGAGAGACGCACGGGCAAGAGGTAGAAGTGACGAGTCCCCTTGATGCTGCTGAAGAGATAGAAGGTGCGGCGGCCGACGAAGATATACGAGAAGGGGTGCTGCTGCTGCTTATGTTGCGGTGGCTGCATCTGGGCTATGATGTGCTCGACGACAGCCTGCACAGAGCGACAGAGCCGACATACACACACACAGAGGGAGAGAGACGCCAACAGAAATGGACGGCGAACGCATTGAGGCCAATGGATCAGTGAGCGCATCAGTGAGTCAGTGAGTGGTGGGCCTCCCTCACCTCAGTTCATGTTGCAAACTCACCAATCATTGTTGAATGACCGAGAAATGCTGAGTGCAAATAGTTATATATATATACACCCACGCAGGCCAACTCGTCGATTGACACGGAAACTCACTAAGCCATCCACACATGCGTCAGTCAGTCATTCTCCTCTGTGACACACACACACCGATCGCCAGCCAGCCACCCCCCTCAGTCCGCCACACCCCTGTCGATGACGTCACGCTCGAGACCGAATCGCCGCAGCAGACGGCGGACGGCACCAACCGACACAGGGTAGCGGTCGGCGAGCGGATGAGACCGACCAGCAGCAGGTGCCCCGGTCGTCCTCTGTGATGTTGTCGTCGGTCAGCAGACGGCGACGCCGAGGGTCGTCATGGGCGATGTTGGCCCACAGCACCTCCTTGTGATCCACCCCCTCTTCATCCGACCACCGGCGGAGCGCCCTGTCCAGCAGGAATGCCGAGAATGAGGGGTAGAGAAGATGGGCCAGTCTGATGACGGGGTCGGTCCGCTTGTAGCCGTCAGTGTAGCGATGGCCGCCCGGCAGCTCACCCAATGGCACCACACGAAACGACTCATCGCCGATCCGATAGTGTCCGTTGCCGTCGGCTTGCGGCAGCTCCAGGCTGGTCCCTGTGTATGTAAGAAGGTGGCTGAAGATCTTGTAGATGGCCAAGGCGAGTGGCAGCTGGTGGAAGGCCGTTGCTGTGGGCAGCGAGCCAGCCGACAGACGGAGAGGCCGAGTCGCATTGGGAGTCAGCCGGTAGATGAAGGCCATCCGAATGAACCGCCCCATCGCCCGCCACTCCTCGCCACTGCCCCGCTCCAGTAGATAGACCACCTTCAAGCCGCCCTCCACATCACCGCCAATGTCGAAGGCCAACACGTCCGCCAGGCCGAGACGAGTGATGGCCTTGGCAATGTGCTGCTGGATGGCGTTGAGCAGGGTGCTGTTGACGGTCTCCGTAGTGTGGCCCAGCAGCTCCTCTTGCCGAGTGCGGGTGGCGAGCTGCGAGCGGAGAGCGGCCCGTCTGTTGAAGTCAGTGGACATGGCTATGGCGGCCATCTTGCTGATGGCGATGCTGCGCAGGGGCGGGACTGCCGGCGGTGCGGTGTGGCCATTGGCATGGAAAGAGGGAGGCTGGGAAGAGGACGCCATCAGTCAGTCAACTGATCTGAATCATCAAGGACACACACAAGGTGGCAATCAGTGCTCCCGAGCTGAGTGTGCGTCTGTATGCTGACCTTAAACTTGGCTATGAACGAATCTCTGTCAGCAGCCCAATGATTCGTTCTCTGCAATCTCTGTCAACACCATATGCCGGATGCGCAATGATTGACTCTGCAGGCACACACGCAGCATCAATAGCACGGTGGCATGGCCAGTGTACTGTAGACATGATCCATCAGTGTCAGTCAATGCGACAGCGAGGGAATCAGACGAGCCACTGACCGTCAGCAATGGCACCAGCGGCCCAAATGAAGCGATGGCCTGGCCAGGCGGCCGTCGTCAGCGAGTCAAGGAGGCCTGGCGCACGTGAGAGATCTGCGGAAACACAAAATATGTACCGAAGCAGAAGCTGGCTGAAACATTTCAACGCTTCATCTGCCTCTTTCGCTGCCACCTTGCCCTCCAGTGGAGTGTCTTTGCCCCGGCGCAGCGGTTTCCCTCTTTGCCCCGGCGCGATCTGCGAGCTTAAATCTGGTGTTTCGTTCAGAGAAGCATGGAAAAGCCGCCGTCTTTCTGCCAGCGTCTCAGCGAGGAGAGCAAGGGATCACACGATCGAAGTGACAAGTACGGAAAAACACTCACAAAGAGCGTGACCTCTCCTCCGCACGTGAACAGCTCGAAGAACTGCAAACGACGTATATCTGTGTGCGCAACAGGTTCATTTCGGTCAGAGCGGCGACGGCATTCGGAAGCCGCACGATATGGGCGTCGCTGGTTGCTGACTTCTATCACGTGTACGCGACGATAGAGGACCTCATCGCCAAGCTGGCGGCGAAGAACGTCAAGGAGGGAGAGGCACTCAACATCCCAGACCTCTTCCGCAAGCAGGTGGGCGAAGACTCCACGACTGACTGGCCCGGCACGCAGTTGACTGACGTTGTGTGCTCGTGTGCAGGCCTTTCTGGATGACATAGCCTACTTCTACAATGGCGACAAAGGACGGGTGGAGAAAGTGGTCAAGGAGGGGGCTGAGCGGCGCGCCGTCAAGTACTACGTCGAGAGGATCAAGGACAAGACAGCCGAGAACCCCGCATTCCTCATTCCATACGGTGAGTCACCGTGCGCTCATACACATGCCAGCACTGGACGCCTTAATCAATCGCTTGCTGGCCTGTTGTCTGTGTGTGTGTTTCTCAGCTCACAGCATGTATCTGGCGCTCATGGCTGGGTATGCTCGTGGCGGAACACTTGCCTCTCACCGCCTGTATCTGTATGTGTCATTCACTGACTCGTTCAGGGGCTCAGTGTTGAAGAGGATGCTGGTCAAGACGATGGGCTTGCCGCCCACGGGCGAGGGCACGTCGATTTTCACCTTCCCCAGCGACCCCGATGCCCTCAAGGTCACCCTCAAGGCGCGCATCGACGAACTGGCAGCGAACTACTCCCCTGAGCTGCTGGCCGACCTGTGCGAGGAGAAGCGTTTGGGCTTCCTCCTCAACGACACGATAGTGGGCCGAGTGCCCTTCGACTGGCAGGGCGGCGCAAGGGTCGTCATCGCGGCGGCATTCCATCCGATATCGCTGTGTGCGATGGCCGTGGCCGCCATACTCGCTGCCCTCCTCTACTACAGGCGATCACTCTTCTCATAGACAGCTGGATAGACGCGCAGATAGAGAGATGGATATATGGGAGGGGTTTTCCTGCCTGTGTGCTGAGGTGACGGCCTGCGTGTTTGTATGTAGTAATCCCCGATTTGTTGCTGTGTTTGTAGTGGTGAGATGCGACGCGTTGAATGCATCGCATCCTTCATGGACGCTTTCATGTGGTGGCCATCCCATCTCTGAATACCTTAATTATCAATCGTCTGGCCATCTATTACATTACTCACTTCATTCGTCCGACCACAACCAAACAGGTCAATAAACACCAACACCGCACACCGCCCACCGCCCACCGTCACCGACTCATTGGCTGGATGGCTGACAGCCTACCCAAAGCCCCTAAAGCCCCTTGCAAACAAACTTCATACACACATGTACGCCTCAATGAATGAATCTTACCTCGCCCCAAGACACGTACACGGCGGAAAAATATGAACCGAGAAATGCCCACATACCCCCCACGTGCATCCATGTGGGTTTCGCGTGTGTGTGTGGTCGCAACACACCAATCAGTCAGGGTGTGACAGAGGGTGCGGTCGAGTGTGCAGTTGATTCGTTCATGTTGTTCGCAGCCGGCAGCTGGACCGCAGCTGGGGGGCCTGCCGTCGGTGTCACGGACGCCAGCACCTCCGGGCGGAAACAGCGCAGTCCCAACTCCGCGTTCAGACCTGCACACACATGCGCACATCTCATCACACATACACAGAACAACACACACCCATACGTGTGTGGCTGCTGTGCTGTGTGTACCGTGGACCTCCTTGACGTCAAGTCGTATGAGGAACTCGAGGATGGCCGCCGACAGCACCTGGCCCGGCACGGCCACAGGGAACCCTACAACACAGATGCACACACACACAGACAGGCGCACCCCTCGCTGCATCGACGCACGCATCCAGCTATGGATAGGTACCATACCTGGCGGGTAGGGTATGATGAAGCTGGTGGCCACCAGCTCCTGACCGTTGTTGATGCACTGAGGGAGGGAGGGATGCAGGTCACACAAGACACCATATCAGCACACACGCAGGTGTAGGGCACTAACTGACCTCTAGGGCCTCCTTGATGTCATAGTATGCGCAGTGGGACTCGTCAAACGCCAGGAAATAGGGCGTGCGCAAATCGCCGTCACGCACCAACACCTCACCACCCTCATCCTATCCAGGCCCCCCCCCCCCCCCCCC